TGTTACATGTATAATATGTACTATAAACAGGTGTCATTACATGTAAAATACATATGTACCACAAACAGTACATATATAATATGTACTGTAAGCACAGTATATATTACATTTACAACATGTACTGTGAACAGTGTGTTGCATGTATAACACACTGTGGTCAGTGTTACCTGTATAACATGTACTGTGAATACAGTGTATGTTTCATATATAACATGTACCATGAAGTGTGCATCATGTAGAACATGCACTGTGAACACTATGTGTAATGTATAACATTCACCATGAACAGTGTTACATGCATGACGTACTATAAACTCAGTGCATGTTATGTACATGACATGCACTATGAACAGTGTGTTACATGTATAACATGTACTACGAATTTTTTGTTACATACATGACAAGCACTATGAACAGTGTTTACATGACATGTACTATGAACACAGTGTATGTTACATACATGATGTGTATACTATGAACAAAGTTTGGCCTTGTGGAACCCTGGAGGGTAAATCTGATTGCATAAAATCATGTAACTTCAATGTGATAAAGTAATAGCTAACATTTACTTAATCTGTAAAAAACATCCTTTGAGTTGAAGTTACTGACGTTATGCCTGTTTCAGATAAGGAAACTGAGGCACAGAGTGGGCAAGTAGCGTGCCCAGCAATTCACAATGGGGTGTGTGGAAGGACTGGGAGGGGGGCCAGGCTGCCGTGGGCTGTGCTCTTTGCCCGACCAGCCAGAGCAGGGGTACTTCTTTCCTCTACTCAGCACACACCTGCGGAGTTTCTGTATTGGGCACCACTCTGAGGTCGTGCTAGTGACTTTGGGATGGAGAATCTAAGTTTCTGCAAGGCTCAGAAACTGTCTTTGAGCAACTAGAATAACGCTATGCCACTTAATACCTCAGAGATGTAATGACTGTCTTCACCTCCTCAAAACTTAAAGAAACAAAGGAATGAAGGCTTTGGTGATTCGACTGGCTGGTCTAAGGGGGGTCAGAGAAAAAGGAGGCTGTTCGACCACTGTTGGTTACAGGGGAGACCAGGATGGCTTCTCACTCTAGGGAGCAGGGAACACTGGCTTCCTTTCTGTCTCCACCACCACTGTGCCTGACTCCATCACTCTCGACACGGTTTCACAGCGTCACACGTGTGCCCCTCACCTGCCCCCGAGTCTCTGCCATCCTTTATAGCTATCCTTTCCGAGCAGAGGCTGGAGTCAGCCACTTGTGAAGCAGGATGTCCCCAAACTGACTTACAGGCTTTGAAAAGAAAAAGCAGAAGCACCCGCCACACACCAGGCCTTTCAGGCTTAAACATCTGTTCCCACAAACAGGCGCCTTCTCCAGGCTTCCTGAGCGCCCTGTGGGCACGCAGATGTTTCCCAGCCCGGTCTCAGTGAGGGGAGTTTCTCTCCAGATGATGTGCGCTTTTCTTCTATGGTGAAAACTCCTTTCATAAAACATATATGGTAACCAACTAACAAACTTACCATTAACTTTAAAATGGCCTTTTTAACTCTTCTACAATATAACTGGTCAGACTCTAAAGTGACACAATCTCTGTGAAGAGTTTGGCAATATCTAGAAAAATCTCATTCGCATTTACCTTCACCCAGCAGTTCCACTTCTAGAAATGTGTTCCCAGGGTGCGCTGGCAAAAGTAGAAAATAACTAGTGTATACAATTATGCACTGCAACCTGATTACTGAAAACAAAAGATCAGAAGCAACCCAGCGCCCATCAGTGAGGGACTGCATACATCACAGCACGTGGACACAGAATACAATCCAGCCGTACAAGAAAAGAGAGCACTTCAGGAACCGATAGACTGTGACTTCCATACGTACCTCTAGGTGACAAAAGCAAGGTTCACAACAGCATATAGAGAATGCTACCTTTTGTGAACAGAATATGAAATACATACAAGTTTGCTAATATTTGTGAAAAGAAATACTGAACAATAAATCAGTAGTTTTTAAAAACCAGCTACCAATGGCAGAGGGGGAGAATAGTCTGAAGGGGACAGGGATGAAAGGAGACTTCTTTTGCTGTAAGGTTTGACTTTGAAAACATAAATAGATTTTATACATTCAAAAGAGATAATTAAATCAAAAAGAAACAAAGCAATCCCTGTAGGGATTGTAGACAAACATATCTAACTATATTTAATTGGCAATAAAACCAGAGAAAAAAACTTATTTTAAGCAACTCCAGAACATGATATTGACTACACATCATTAGTGAAATATATGTTCAGGAGAAATGGAGCTGTTGGGAAATCTTAAATTCCAAGCAGTGTTTTATTAATAGTAATACCGAGGGCTGGCCAGTTAGCTCAGTTGGATTGAGCACAGTACTGATAGTAACACTAAGGTCAAGGCTTCCCATACCAGTACCTGCTGGCCAGCCACACACACACACACAGAAGTAACATTGGTATTATTTTCAACATTATTTTGAAATACATAGAATAGTATAAGTAAGTAATAAATACTATTAGGAACCAAAATTTTCAGTGTAAGAGAAAGAATTCAAGTGTAAAAGAAGTGAAATCCTATAATGTTAAATCTTTACTGGACTATAGAACTTCAACTCATGTGTTATGGGATGGGCTATGGGCTCTGACTGTGCAGCTCCAAAAAACAGGGAGAACAAGGAGAGCAGCGTAAAACTGCCTCGTGTAGTGCTCGTGTTGTTGGTGGGGCACACTTGGTAAAACACTATGAAGCAAAGCTAGACAGTGCTGGTCCGAGCAGCCGGGAAGGTGGTCACTCCAGGAGGGAGAGAGAGGCGCTTTCCCTGAGGGGCCACCTGGGGGCTGGCAGATCCCACCACCTGGCCTGGTGGACACCGACTGCAACATAATTTTAAACTAGCTTATGCTGTTTTATATATTTGTGTTATGTTTAACAAATTTAAATTATAAATTGAGATAGGAATTATCAATATGTACCACTGATTTTTCTTTCTTTTCAAAAATCTGAATTTCCTAGTTCTGTCTAGTAAAAAGATGAACAATCTCAGCATCACTAAGAAGGCAACAGATAACCTGATATCATGCGCCTCCTGATGTGATGAGAAACACAGTCCCTCTCACCCCCAATGCAGCATTCTGCCAAAAACGTTAAGCCTGAATCTAATCAAGTCTCTCTGGGCTAGCTTCCAGTTACAGGAAATCCAGGGTAGGCAATGGCAGAACAAGTTATATAACCACACAAGGCAGCAAATCTAGAACGTGAAACATTCTCTAGGACAAGTGACCTAGTTTCTGCAATAAGACAGGAGCATTAAAAAGGGGGGAAGAGAGGGTTCTGGACTTCTCCAAATTAAATAACTTAAGAGACTACCAACCAAATGTTTATTTGGATCCTGATTTGAACAAACCAGCTGTAAAAAAGGTACTTCTGAGACAATCATAAAAGTATGATTATGGATTGGGCGGTTGAGGCCACATGTTATTAAAAATTTTATAAATATGGGCCGAGCCCGTGGCGCACTTGGGAGAGTGCGGCGCTGGGAGCGCAGCAGCGCTCCTGCCACGGGTTCAGATCCTAAATAGGGATGGCCGGGGTGCTCACTGGCTGAGCGCAGTGTGGCCGGTCTCAAAAAGGACAAAAAAAAATTTTATAAATATGGGCCGAGCCCGTGGCGCACTTGGGAGAGTGCGGCGCTGGGAGCGCAGCAGCGCTCCTGCCACGGGTTCAGATCCTAAATAGGGATGGCCGGGGTGCTCACTGGCTGAGCGCAGTGCGGCCGGTCTCAAAAAGGACAAAAAAAAATTTTATAAATATGAAAATGGCACTGTGGTTATGAGGAAAAAAGGTCCATAGTTTTAGAAAAAAGTACTCCAAATATATATAGGGGAGATTTGTTTACAATTGTTGAATACACTGTCTTCTCTACTTTTTAATGTCTCAAAGTTTTCATAAGTAAAAAAAAAAAATCCTGTTATAAAATGACCCAGTGCTCCATAATACCCCCAATTAAAAGTCACCACTACGACAACGTGGTTTTGTTATATGTCTAACCACTAGCGTAACACTAATTCTATGAGAAAACCATACTACAGGTTTTAAAAAAATACTTGTGATAAAAGTTCATATACAAATTCGTGTAACAGGTACCAGCTGTTTGTACAGAAAGATGATTCTGCTTAACTCCTTGGGGTATTGGTTTACAGATTAAGGGAAGTGACACTTATCTCTAAACCAGAGGTCAGCAATCTACAAGTGGGCCAAATCCAGACCAGTGCCTGTTTCTGTAAATAAAGTTTTATTGGAACAAAACCACACTCATTCGTTAACATACACTCATGGCTGCTCTTGTGCTACAACGGCAGAGTTGAGTAGCTGCAGAGATCACATGACCTGCAAAGCCTAAAATATTTTTTTTTTCTTTAGAAATAATTTATTTTGATCACAAAATACAGGGAAAGAGAGAGTGCAGTGCCTGTAACCCCTGGCTGCATATCTTCCCTGCATAATACCCTTTGTACAACACTGGGTTCACACCAGCCCCACAAGCCTTTTCTCTCATTCTGACAGCTGCAGCTCACTTTTGCAAATACTGAAACTGAATTTATGGAAAGGACTTCTTAAACAGGAGCAGTACCTAAGGTCCTTTCTTTGTCCCCAACTCCGTAAGTCCCAAGCTGCCTGGACAGCTGTCCCTAGGTCCCCCACATCCCAGGGAGGTGATGGAGGAAGGGTAGGCCAAACCAAGCATGAGAAATAAAGTCTTCATCGGGCTCACACTGGGAGTCCATGGGTCTTGAGGACCTCTGTGTATTTGTCAATTTTGTTCTCCACGTTCTTTTTAGCTTGTGAGTTGTTTTTTCTTTGGATCTTGGCCTTTTCCTTCCTCTTCTCCTCCAGAGTAGCTGTCACTGCCTGGTACTTCCAGCCAACCTCAGGAGCCAGGTGTCCCAGGTAGGCAAACTTTCTTGTAGACTTCAGATGCATAACCCTGAGAACAGGAGGAACCACCACTGCTTTTTCTTGTCATAGGCGGTGGGATCCTATCAAACACCTTGAAGTGGTCCAGGGCAGCCTGGCCCCGCTTTGTCTTGTACAGCAGCATGCTTTGCATGGTCTGCCAAAAGATGCAGCCAGGGGCTGGGAAGTGGTAGGGGCCACGGGATGGGTTGATGTTTATCCACTTGGGAGAAAGGCCAGGTACTTTAACTTCTTTCTGTAGAAATTGGCAGAATGTTGGGCCGAGCCCGTGGCACACTCGGGAGAGTGCAGCGTTGGGAGCACAGCAGCACTCCCACCGCGGGTTCGGATCCTATATAGGGATGACCGGTGCGCTCACAGCGCTCACTGGCTGAGCGCGGTGCGGCCGGTCTCAAAAAGGACAAAAAAAAAAAAAGAAATTGGCAGAATGTTGATGCTCTCACAACGTACAACCACCACCTTCCGGCCCAGTAGTAGCTGCTTGGCCATGACTGTGGCTACGCGGCCCAGCAGGTGACCTCGGCCATCAAGTACCAGGATCTGCCCCTTGGCTGTCTTCGTCAGCCACCTGGCTAAAATATTTACTATCTGGTGATTTACAGAAAAATTTTGCTGGTGAGCAAAGCAACAGGAAAGACGCAATCAAAGAAAAAAAAAAAACAGCTTCAGTTCTAAGTTCTGATGCTTAAGCTGTCACACTTGGTGAGGCCCCAGGTGAAAAACTGCTTTGGGAAAAAAGCATCTGATTTCAAATTCCAGAGACATTCTATGGCCAAATAAGCTTGTCTCTGAGACGCTTAGAGGAAAAATGTCAAGGAGACATGAAAGGTAAAAGTGATAAAAATGCAAGCTAATCAGTCTTATGCAAGAAGCTTTTGCCGTTATAATGAGTCACACAAAATATTTATTTGCAAAGTTTCTCCCTTTTCAGCTCTGATACTATCTTCCTCAAAAATGTGAAGAGATATTGTTTGTTTACTTATCTGCTGTCCATCTCTTCATGTAGATGTAGGCTCTATGAGGGCAGAAATTTTTTTTGCCCACAATTATAACCCCCATGCCCAGAAAGGTGCTTGGCTCAATAAATATACTAAAAAGTGGTCACTGCCCAACCTCCCTCCCCCCAACACCCCGGCTCAAGGCCACTGGCAGCAATGTTTAGCCGCCACAGCTCCTCACACACCTCACCTCCTGGAGGGAACACTCTGAATAAATCATCCTGCTATACAAAATCTTCTTTTTTTTTTTTTTTCGTCTTTTTTTTTCGTGTCCGGCAACGGATCGCAACCCTCAGTGTTATGCCCGTACCGGACCGGGACCGGCAACGGGATCGCAACCCCTGGCGCTGCGCCCGCACCTCGCTCAGCCAGTGAGCGGGAACCGGTCTGTATGTGGGATCCAAACCCTCGGCGGGAGCGGGCGCACTATAGCAGTGCGCCACTGGGCCGGCCCCTATACAAAATCTTCTATGTTTTGAAGTTAGCTAGGGAAGAAAGAGTATTTATATTAACCTTTACACTTAAGTTTTAGGTTTTAGGATTAAGAATCTTTGGTTCAGGGAAAGATGGACTAAGTAGCTAACTATGAGCTCAAATTTCCATTCTAGTTTCCAACAGGGATGAAAAGACTACATGGTTTATATTCCGGCTCATGAAAGACAGAAGAGAGAAATAAGTAAAGAGAGTGGGGAGAAGGTTGTTTTGTGGGGTAAAGAGTGAGGGCTTATTACCTCCCTCTCCTGCATCTCACCAGTGACAAAAGCCAGGTGCCTGAACACTTATTCCCCTCTGGCAAGGACATGTTCTTTTGGAAAAGACTACCGGTGGCAGCAGCAGCAGCAGGACTGGGGGTGGGGGTGGGGGGGTTTAGATGCAGGAAACATACTTGCGGTTTTTTTCCCTTAGAATGTTGGAAACTGAGTGAGGGAGAAATTAAAAAGTACATAAACACAGCTGATACTTTACACAGACCCTTTTCAAGTGAACTAGGAAAGACTTTAGGAAGCAGCCACACTTCTGGTTCCTTTGGTTAGAACACTTCCTGCACTAGTGATCAGCCTATATGTTCACGCAGCCCTTCTCTTCCAAACCAGGGGTCCTGATCCAAAGGCGTGAAGGTCTACAGGTTGATACCTTACTCCCACCAAATAAAATACAAACACTGTCAAATTAACTCATGCTACCCATTTCTCTTACCCCAGCCAAAGTCAAAATGTTTTCCAACGATTTGGTCATGATGAGACGCTTCTTGGCACGAGTTACTGCCACATACAGTAAATTCCACTCATCCTCAGAAAACGACTCTAAAAAAATGGTAAAAAAAAAACCAACTCGAAGCCTGCTTACAAAACAGAAACTTATGTTCCCATCTAAATGTTTACACTCTTCATCCATCCCCCCAAGAAAACCACTTAAGATTTGCTGGCTGTATATACAAAATTTTCCTACAAATGCCAACTCCAAAGACAAATTAAAAACCTAGCAGACTAGTGGCACAAAATACAGGGTTTTATTTAGCCCTGCTATGGTAAATCCTGGGAATGTGTTCATTGGTTATTCAACACCTGCGATGTGCCAGATGGATATTTACATTCATTATCCCAGTTCTCCTCACAAAAAGCCCGTAAGACAGATGAGGAAACAGGTTTACAGAGGTTAACTCCTTCACACAAACAAGGCCATGGCTAATCAAGGCCCAGGAGCTGGTCCCAAGTCTACTCGTCTCCAAAGCCCACGCTCTTTCCGTTTCCTTACACTGTCTCGCTGGACTGAGTCCAATCTGGAAATGTCCTACTTTGTCACAGGACAAGGGAAGAAAAGCACCACAGAAGTCTTTACTGCCCACTGGCGCCTCTCATCTCCCAGTCACGACACCTAGTGCCTTGGCAGCACCCCAGTGAAGAGCAGCTGACCTATGAGTGTACCACCAGCCACTGAACTGGGTTCTGTAAATGGGTGGGCTCTGTGATCTCAATCTTATTTCAGTAAAGGTGTTGCCAAAGGAAAAAAAATTATGGAAACCAGTCGGGGAAAAAGGTAGTAATATAAAATAAACCTCTCCCCACAACAAAAGCAGCTGATCCCTCTCCATGGCCCCCTCATTTCCTCGCTCCACTCCAGTTTACGTTTAACCCCTGTGTTTCTCCTTCATTTTATGACCATATTCACCAGAGATAAGGAACGTTTAGTATTTATATTTTTGGCATTCCAAGGTATGCTATGCCCCAAATTCTGAATCTACAATTAGCAGAGAGCATTTGTTAGTTTGTTTGTAGTTAAACTTCAAATGATTTTATTCCAAGATTTAAAATAAAATAGCACTGATGCTTAGAGTTTAACAATCAGCCTTGAGTATACGTTTATTAAAAAGCAGACAAATGTTAAAGAGTGCTTACTATTTCAGCTTTTATGTTTTTCTAAACTCTTTAATGAAAAGAAGAGGAATTAATTTTTTAAAAAACACCTTGGTAAGTAGGTAAATTATATGTTTTAAAGCTTTTATGAGGCTGGGACACCCAATGTCTGATGGTGAAAAATACAAACCTAAAGAGCAGGTGCATGTTAAAGAGGCCCCTAGAAGCATAACAGCCCTATAAGCAACAAAGAGAGGGTGGACCCTGTAGAAGTTTGGTTTTTCTGAAAAACACAGTATAACAATCAAAAGTTTAGGACTAGGAGGTGCTTTTTTTCTTCTACAAAAACCCTCCCAAGAGTCCACACCACCCACAAAAGTCAAGGCAGTCAAAAGGAAGCATCCCCACCAACTCTCAACTGCTAAAATAAGAATGTCCTAGGAGCAACCAGTCTCCTTACCAACTCTGAAGTGGGGAAGCTGGGGAAGATTATGCCTGGCACAAGGCACTTTCACAAAATCATCCAAAACATGCACAGTGTCAAACTCCAAGCCTTTGGCTTTGTGCACAGTGCCCAGTATGTACTCTAGAACAAAAACAGCACATGGTTAGGTGGGAATTTCATGGGGTAGACATGAGAGAAGGGAAACGAAGGTATACTTCCTGCTGTACTCTTATACTCTAACTAATATGGCTCCTTGCCTCTGTGCAGCTTTCTGGGAAAAGGAGGGAAGAGGAAACTACAGTCAAAGGAAAAAGAAAAATGAAAAAAGTGAGGGGAAAAGAAGAAAGTGAACTGGAGAGTTAGTACCTCTCAGAATCAGACTGCAGAGGCCAAAGTGACCCTGCTCACCCCTATAACTTACACATGAAGGGACCGAGGCCCAGAGAGGGCTGTGTGGCTCACCCAGAGTTTCACCCAGCAGAGCTGGGACTAGAAAATCCTATTGTACCGGCTTGGAAGTAGAAGAGAAATAGAGAGCCCTGAGGAAGAACAGGAGTTCTGCTCCCCTTCCTCTTCAATGACAAAGGCATCCTTGGCCACAGACACCTCAGACAGGTAAGAAATATCAAAAGACCTCCTGTTCCTTCTCTTGGTGGGAAGGTAAGAACCAACCACATTCCTTACCTGCGAAGTCCAGATCTTCTACGTGGCATCTCTGTATCCTCTGCACCAGCTCTGGAATCCTGACATTATACTTTTCGACTACTGCAATCTTGGCTTCCAGCTCTTTGTCCTCAGCAGCAGTCACGTACCTCTTAAAGCCACTAAAGCCTTCTTTGTGCACCCATCTTCTGATAAACTTGTCTTTAATGATGAGGTTTTCTAAGGAGATGCAGGTGAATGTGACACAGGCTGCCCTAATAGTCGGTGGCAGCAACTGCACGTGTTTAACCACCAGTGTGACAGCGGAGGGTCTCACAGAGGGGACCCAGGTTCCAGTCCTGACTGCATTACTAACTTGCTGTGTGTCCCTGGGCAAGTCAATGCAATGGCCTCTCCGTCTCCAACTGAGGATAAAGAACCTCACCTACTTCACAGAGATTTGAAATAGCATGGTCAATAGGAAAAGAAAGGCGCTATAGACATGTTAGGAGTTATCATCTGGGCCCACATGTAACTGTCCATGTGAAAAGTTGCCCAGGAAGACAGAAAGATGAGGGGCAAGACAACCTAAGGAACCAACATTAGAAAGAAATGGAGACTCCTGAGAGGAGGACCTGGAAAAGTCTGTCAGTACCTCTGCAAACAGGAGGCTGGAGGCACCCACTCTTTATGGGGAAAGAGCTCCCCCCAGTCCTGAAGGAAAGCAGAACACTGACTTGGAACCGCCTGCTTCTCTCCCATCCCTGCCCCAAGTGCTTCCTTCCACCGCACAGAGGCCAGGCGGATACTCACGTTTCCTCCGTTCTTCCTCTGGCTGAAGAAGGATCCAAATATCAATGATTCTGTCCAATCCAAATGATTTAATCCCCTGAAAAAGATTTTTGGTGGGATCTTTGTTTTTTTTTTTAATTGCTGTTGCTTTAACAAAACAAAATAAAGCAAGTGTAGGGATGGGATTTTGAGATGAGATGGTCTCTTGGAAACGGATCTCAAAATGCACCCAAAGCACAGAGAGTAAGCAGGCAACGCCATCACACCAAAGTGCCAGGCTGTAGTGTGGCCCCAACACTCGGAACCATCAGATTTTACGTTTCGGCAAGATCTCGCTGTGCGTTGCTTCCTCATCAATAAGAGGGAATGTAAAATGGTTGCAAAGAATCTAAACAATACCTGAGCACAAAGTGTCGAGTATGAATACTTACCACCGTTTCTCATGAGATAAGAACTAGAGAATGTCTCTAGGTCCAGACTATTCTATGTTTTAAAAGGTCAGCCTTAGAGGAGAGGACCTGATTGTGCCACAGGTTAGCCCCATTCTACATAAGAAGAACCTGCTGAGCCCTGGCTGTGGCTCAGCACACACAGGGCATTGGCTCAGCACACACAGGGCATAGGCCCAGCACAGAAGACAGAGGTGACAAGGGCCCCACACTCTAAAAGCTTTTCATATTCTGGGGAGGGACACATAAAACAGAGACCACAATAAGACAGCATACATTATAATTCACAACCAGACATGTAACCAAGTGCAGATGCATGCTACCAATGACAAGCGTATGTAAGAGAGGGGAAGAGAGCCACTTACTTTATGTTATGCCCATCAGGGATGATATGCCAAAAACAATAATTCTCTTACAATATGAAAATGGCTGAGTTATGCTATATCCACTAGGTGAAATATTATAAAGTCATCAAAGTAGCAATGAAAGAAAATATGCTTATGTGTTGAGAGAAAAATGGCATACGTTTTGATGTACACTATAGTTGCAATTATGCAAAAATATACATCTATAAGGGGAAAGACAAAAATAATCAGTAGAGGGCCGGCCCCGTGGCGCACTCAGGAGACTGCGGCACTGGGAGCGCAGCGACGCTCCCGCCGTGGGTTCAGATCCTATATAGGACTGGTCGGTATGCTCATTGGCTGAGCGCGGTGTGGGCGACACCACACCAAGGGTTGCAATCCCCTTACTGGTCACGAAA